GAAGTGAACCGCAAAATGTGGCATTGCGGTTAGTGTGTTTATGTGTGTGTGTATGCGTACTAGGCGCTGCGGTTGCAAAGCTCAAAAAATGTCGCACACGTGTGAAAAGTGCGGCGGCTGAAACGATAAAACCATTTAAATTAAGTTGCAAATTATGCAAATGAAACGTGCTAACAAAGAAACATTAAAATAAAAACTTACAACCAGACGCTGCGCCTTGTGGCACCACCAGCGGCAGCAGTAGCACGCACGTGCGTCCGCCGTTGCAGGTGGCCAGGCGGCCACGCCCACTTCAACACCCGATTGTCACGGACGTAAATTAATTAGTTGCGCCTATTTGTGCGATCAATCATTCAATTTTCTGCGCCATAAAATCGGTCAAACAAGAAACAAGAAAAAAAAGGAAAGGCCGCCACTTGTTCTGCCACCTTGTTGCAGCATTGCGCACCACCACCACCCCCCGATTCGAGTCCAAAACCGGCTTGTCATTTATGTGCTGCTCGCTTTTGTTACGCTTTTTATAGAGCGGCTGTGTCCTGTAACCCACCCCACTTTTGGGCACAATCTGTCACACGCTCGTATATCCTCCTTAGGTAACGCTTCGGCTGTGGGTCTCTGGGTCCCTTGGACGGGGTTGTTGCTGGATAAGGTTTTTTGGCCGCAAATTGTTTAATATGAAATAATCTCAAATATTTGTGCCCGCAATGAAATTAGCCAAATTAACACCTTGGTCCGCAAAGGCTTAGCCAAAATAATTGAAATATTTTTTGTTTTAATAAAGGGACCAATCTGAACGGCGACTAAGAAAGGTGCCGAGCGCTCAGCCAAAGGTCACAGTAAATATAAAAAAAAACAACAAAAAACTTGTATGTATGTTGCGTGTGTCCTTTTCTGTTCGTTTTTGTGGCCCCACTCACTCAATTAGGCGGACATTGTCCAGCCGACGCAGGCGGCAGTCCATTTGGGGCCAAATGCTTTAAGCCATTTTAACAATTTCCATTAACAAATATGCACAAATTGCCTTTTGGCGGTTTTACAAATAAATTGTACAAAAAATATTTTGACAAAAATACTTAAGCACACACACAAAAACAATACTTATATATATATACATATATATATATATACAAGCGCTTTATATAAAAAGCAGGCGAAACAGCAAATGCGTGTTTCGGCCATTTTTTGTTCGACCAAAAATGCATGAAATATTTTTGTAAATTATTTTTATGCACTTCATTAAATATTTAAACAATTTGGGTGCCAGGCACAGGCCGAGAGCCGCTGCCATAACCCCGGGGCCACAGAAACAGCACAGCGTACTTTAATCAACCGTAAAATGTTGACCTTTTTTTGGGGGGATGGGAAACTTTGTTGCTGGGCCGCAACATGCTGTCGAAATTTTGTACAGCAAGCAGCTTGCCGCATATGGTGGGCCTAATGGGCCAAAGCCCAGCCCAATTCCCAGTGCACAGTGTACACTAGCCAAGCCAAGCAAGTTGTAGGTATTGAGGTTGGGCGCCGGGCCGCGCCGTGCACTGCCCGTGTGTGCATTTACATAATTTATGCCCGTTGCGGGCGTCTTTGGACTTGCAACCAATTTCCATTTGTGCTTTCCACATTTCATTTTATGACATCGTGTGACACTTTCGACCGCTCCAGCTCCGTCTGCTGTTCATAATTTCCACGCGTCAGGCAGGCGAGTGACAACTGGCAACTGCTTAAAGTGGAAATGTGTTTTAAATGAAAAACCTTACAATAGCGCATTTAAGATGCTGCTTATGAATATATCTATGTATATTGAAATATTTAACATTTATTTATTATGCGCATACATAAATTACTTCATATTCAATGGACACGCACACACTTTATTTATTTATATGCATTTATGCACAGCCAAATTCATGCACACATTTGTTGTGCAAATTTTCAGGAAAAGCGATTGAGAGAGAGGAAGTCCTTTCTCACGCCTCCGCTGCCGCTGCCACTCCCCGCTTGTAGTTTTGGCCATTGCCAATAAATTCACATCAAAGGTCTTTATTTGTGTTTGCTTAGCAGCGAAAGCCAAAAAGGATGCGCAGCGGCTGTCTGTCCACGTCCACGTACCCCCTCCACAAGGCTACGCCTATGCCTGCCGGCTGGGCCTGTGCAAATATCATTTTCATTTCAATTGAGCAGCTCGGCTTTAAGCATTACCCGTGGGCTGGGATTGGGCGCTAACCTACGACACGCGTGTCATCAGCTAATCCCGCTGCTGCCGCTAAATGATTTTCTAGTTGCCAGGCAGCCCACAGTCAGGACACAGAAGTAAAGCACTGGGCGCACGTGTCAGTTGTTTGGGCCCCGAGGCGGATGTGTGGTCGGGGTCGGGTGGGGTTGGTATTGTTGTCCTGCGTACGTAGACGTGCGCCTTGCATTGCAATGAACTCAACACTTGAGCCGACGGCCTGACAAAGTAACTCCCGGCATTAGCCGAGTGACCGCCAATGGATTTTTAAATACTCGGCACACGCTTCTCCGCCAGCGAGCTGCTCAAATTAAACGCCTCGCCGAAGCGGCTAGAGACTGCTTCTGCACCATTGCCAAATAAATAACTCAATTGTTTTGTTGACAATTTATTTGACACGTGACTTCGGCTGGTTAAACAGACGACGGCTACGACGAAACCAGCATAGCTCAGCCCAGATCGGGCCATCCCCGCCGACTAGATGCTGGCTTAATGCTTTGTCCTTTTTGCGGTTCATGTGGCCGCCAACGTCGCAGCGCCGACGGCAATTAATCTGAAAGGTGTCCATTAAGGCGTACACGCGCTCGTCGCCCATAAAAGATGCTTGCCCTGGCTGGGGGTAATAGGGGCGTGGCAGTCGGCTGCTGTGTAATACGTGTAATAGTGTCAATTTGATATTTATGGCCGTCCATTCCAGTCTAACAGCCAGTCAGACAGTGATTTGTGCCAAGGCAATTGTGGCCCGAAGCGAGGCACTTGCACCCAAACTCCAAACTTATTTACACCTTTGGCTATACAAATTTATTCATGGAGAAGCCCCATCGAAGGGCCTCAAGTGAATTGCGTAAATCTGAATGAGTGCTCGCGAGACTCGAATGCAAATTTGCACAGGAAACATGTAAATGACAAGAGCGTGACACGACCAAATAGCTTTTGACACGGCGCTCACGTATGTGTATGGTAATTACAATTATATATATATGTGTGTGTATATATATATATATGTGTCTGTACATGGAGAATAGCAGGAAACGGATGTGTGAAGAATATAGTACAATATAGGAGACATATGTATATGTGTGCAACGAAGAACTATGATAGCAACTGTATTCGACTAACAAATACCCTCTTGACATAATTAATCATAGCACATAAAAAGAATATTCCAAGTCTGGAATACGCGAGATGAATATAATTATATCAGTAAGACTGCGCTGTTTGTATTAAAACCTTTTTCTCTTAACCACAATATGAACACAAACACCCCTTTATTCGTGTGGAATGTGGGGTATTGCAATGTGCATGACTTGTTTAGTTTGAACAACTTTCGTCCCGACCAGCAGGCGACCGAACTGAGCCTGGTTGCCTATTACAGAGCCACAGCCCACTGTTTGTTTGCCTGGCTGGCGTGCAAGACTTTTGACTTTCTTTTAAAACAATTTAGCTTTGTATAACGGGCAATGTGTGTGCATGTGTGAGTTAGTGTGCGTACGTTCATGTGGTTGCTGACACAAACCAAAATTTAAACAAAAGAAAAGCTCGAGCAGTTCAGTTCAAGTGCTCAGCATGAGACAAACCTACTAAGACTGTTGGCTAACGGAAACCGCACTCACACTCACACTCGCAGGCACACACACCCAAGCATACCAATACGTGTCCGCCCACACACAAACTCACACATATACGAGCTGCTAAGTGACTCTTGGCTTTTGTTATTCTGGCTCCGCCTGCCTTTGAAGCGGTGGCAGGCAACGGCAGAAAAACTGAAGTATATTGTTAACAGGATATATAATACACAAAATAAAGTTTTCAGCCAAAGTTACACAAAAGTATTTCGCAAGTTGTGCGCCCCAATCTACCCCGAGCCTTATTGCCCCTCAAAGCTGCCCCGTCTTGATCCCAACCCATAGCCCGAAAGCTGCATCACCTTTCACTTGCTTTGTGTGTTTGATTTTTGGTATTGTTTTACTTTTGTTGAAATAGAAATTAAATACAAAGGAAATGGCCCCCTTTTATCGAGCTGTGTGTTTAGCTGCGCCCTCGAAAAGATTCAAGCTTTAAGGAACTTTACAATGTGCGCAAATCGCATCTACAAAAATTTCAAATGCAGCATGTGTAAAAATTAATAAAATACGATCGCAAGCAATCGATTCTCTGTTCAGAAAATAACATATCGAGGAGTTATTGATAAATAATTCTTTTAAAATCAAAGTCTTATAACTTATTAAGTCTGGATGCCCTTCTCTTCGAACTTCCTAGGAGAATATGGAGAAGACTGAGACCGAGGCAGATGAACTACCTGACAGGATACTCTAACTTTAAATTATAGTAAACATAAATAATAAATAAATAAACAAATAATAATCATGTTTTCTCGTGTTATTACAATAAAAAGAGAAAAAATATATCAAATTTTACAAAATATAAAAAAATGGTGTCACTTTTCAATCAAAAGCGCTCGCATTGAAACGAACTGTAGAATGCCAATATGTAGATGGTGAGACCTTGGACATGGTTTTAATTTATCTTGAGTGCGCTTTAACGACAAGACAAGAAGCTGTTAACCAGCAAAAGAAGGAAACCAAGGCAAGGACGAAAAGAAGAAGAAAAATACTCGTTAGCTGGCAGTGGCAAAAGCAAAGAACTGTAATACGAAGAAATGTAGCATTTGTAGAGGGGCAAAAACAAATGTTTTCAAATGTTTGACGCGTACTGACAACAAATAAGCACATACAGTCACACTCACACACACAGGCTGCTTGACAAGCGTACAATACACTGAAAGATGTGTGCATACAGACTGAAACACCCACACACTCACACGCACGCATTTGTCTTGCTGTGTGTGCGTGCATTTAATGTCTGTAATTTACCGTTAAGTAGACAAGTATTAATGGTGAAATACCAACGGAATGCGTAGCGCTGCGCAACTTAACAAACATACAAAACGGCCACAGCCGGAGACAAGACGAGCGCTCAAACAAAGGCGCCCAAAGGCAGCCATCAGAAAAAAAAAGAAAAAGAAAAGGCAGCTGAAAACAAAATGGCGACGAGGACAACATCAGTTTGACTTGACGTTGAAGTTACATGTTAACTGTGGCAGTGCCACCCCCACGTACAAGCACACAGGCGCACGCACACACACTCACACACACACAGGCAGACACCCACACATAGACACAAATAAGCAATTGTCAATGTGGCGCGCGCATGTTGCCCCCCCAGCAGAGATGTCAAAAAAAAAACAAAAAAAAAACGAAGCGAAACGAAAAAAGAAAAAAACGAAACGGAAAAAAGAAAACGCCAACAAATTCCAAAGAAAACTCAACTTTGGATTGTTGGCATTTTTGCTGTGTGCTTTGAATGCTGAAAGCGGTATGGAAGCAGCGCGGTATGGGCAAAAGTCCAACAAGGCTCGCAGAAGCCGAGAAGAAAACAAGTATATAGTTGGAAAAAAAAGAGGGCTCGATGTGCAGATACCCTGTAAAGCGAAAAAGCAGAGAAAGAAGCATTCAAATTTAAATTAAAGTTGTACCTAGACAAATACGTGATCTCACAAAAGTCGTCAAATAAGGCTGCTCGACTTGCAGAGACCCTGTAATGAAAACTAATTGCAGTTAGAGAGTTTCCAGAGTTTCCACATAAACATAAAAAAGGCTTAAACTAGTTGTGAATTATAATGAAGTATAGGGCAAAGGCAGATAGATATGTGATAATTCGAGACAAGCCCTAGCTCTCTCTAGCTCGCTGGCTGTTACATACCTGGTTTATCTCTTAGCACGCCCATTTTGAAGCATTTCATGGGCAGAGGGTATAAAAAAATATTGCCCGTTAAAATAGTAGATAAGGCGAATGGTAAGAAAGCAGGAATGACAAAACAAACGCGCCATTTTCTTGACGTTCACCAATTTGACATTTTACGTGATTTTGGAGCAGCGGAGAGACGAGGTCACAGCTCACACCCCCAAAACGGTCGGGTGCCGCGGGCAATGTGACTTGCCATTTGCTGAAAATTACAAGCTGCCAAGCTCTGAGTGTGTGTGTGTGTGTGCACGCTGCGCTTATGTAATTGAGTTCGAAAGCGGCCAGTCCAGAAGCCACCAAGCCACGTCCCAGGCCAACCCAAGCCGAAGACCAGCCATAGCACGAGCACATTTTTCACAATTCATTTCATTTTGCAACGCGCTCGCTGCAAGGCAACATTATTACAAAGAATATTGTACCAAATAGAAGAAATGAAAAAATGGCAGCATAACTTAAGGCGCTTTTCCATGAGCACACACAAAATATAAAAGGCAAAAAAGAAAATTGTGAGCATCTTAAACAAAAAGACGAACAAATGCTGCACAATAATTTGGTTTTGTGTTTACACTTCTGCTTCTCGCTGCGCTGGTTGGCAACATTTCAAAGTCCTGCCAGTTGCCAAAAGCCAGTCCCGGCCAAGACTAGACTAAGATGGATTAAGATTAAGCCCAAGTAGCTCGCGAATAACAGCTCAGCTCCAGCTGCATCTACAATTCCAGCCGCACAAAACAATTTTTCTTGATTTCTGCAGCATTTTGGCTTTTCTACGCGTGCACTTTTCAACCATTTTCCGGCTTTTCCGCCGCCCGTCAGCTTTGTATGTCTGCGAGCATTAGAAAATAATATTTTATACGCTTCACTTACAATTTTTCTTGTAGTGCTCGCGCTTGGCTGCGCCGTCCAACGCTCCATCTCTGCCCCTGGCTGTTGCAGGGCCTAAGGTTGACGCATCCGTGCCAGCATTTATGTGTATATTTTCGTGTTTGTATGTGTATGTATGTGTGTGTGTGTGTGTGTGTGTGTGGTTGGAGTAGCGCCGCCATATTGTCGGAGTTGTTGATGTTGAAAAATGTTACATGCCAGAAATTGCTGGTTACCCACATGGAAATTACGTTGCATGTTTCATTGAGCCACCCGACTGAGCAATCGACTTCGACTTCTGCTCTGGCAAGCCAAGTTTTAGCCCAATGCGGCTAAAAAGAAATGGAGTCAATGGAGTGGGTGTGGTTGTGTGAACACCAGCTTGGCTGTAAGGCGTTAAAGCACATTATTTGCCCAACACCCATTGTCACTGGGCTCAAAGGCGTCTAATATATATTCACCTGTGGTGTTTCCAAGCAATCGAAAGGTGTACGAACACCAGAGTGTATAGAAAAGGTTTAAATGATATGCAAAGTACTCGTTCTTTACAGGAATTCTTTTGAAAAATTGTGTTAAATGCAATCATTCGGATTATTCGCGTCAGCATCGCTCTCTGCAAATTATATTCAAAAGAACTCAAACTAACACCGCGACTTCTCGTTCTCATTACAGCAGACTTTTAAACACTCTGCTACAGGGTATACGATACTTAACAATAAGAGCGCAGCTCCGTTGTGGAGGCAAGGCTAGCCCAAAAAGCGCCCAATTGTTGGGTGCACGGACAAAAATCAATTTTATTTGAATTTTACAATTTAACCGTAAAACCACAGAAAGCATTTTAAACGCATTTTTAATAGACTCAAAAATGTGTTTTATAAAAGGCGGCTGGATCCACTTCCACATCCCCATTCGGATGCACATCCGCGGCCTGGCCAACAGACCGCTGCCAGCGATGCTTGTATGCATCAATGTATCAATATATATTTATATTGTTTGTTACAAAATTTGCGCATTTACAAAAGCCATCGAATGCAGCAGCAAAAAAGCGCTAAAATTATCGTTGGATTTTCGCAACAGCAGCAGCAGCAGCAGCTCCGTTGTTCTCTGGCATTTTATTTTGCTGATGGAAAATTAGTTTTTGCATGTTGTATAGATTTATCTACCGAGTGTGTGTGCATGTGTGTTTGAGTATCTGTGTTGAATGTTTGCAAATAGTCTGCATACTTCCAGCGCTTATACAAAGTCGCGTGCCTTTTTTGTTGACGTGCAAACGAGCACTTTGCTAGCAAATAGCAAATAACAAACAGCAAATATTTGCAAAGACCGAGCATAAATTGTTTACATGAACGGAAATTTAAGCACGCGATCGAGCCGTTATTGGACTTCAACCTAGCAAACCGAGATAGGACTGCCAATATAAGTGATGATCAGATCAAGGGTGTAGAAAACCAAAATTTGAATCAAAACCCAAATTCGTACATCTAGAAAACAAGGTTTGAGAGAGGTTTAAAATACCTTGCAGCCTTTGCCCAGCTATCCACACCTAATGGCAGTCTGTGTCCCCCATCAAATAAATTCTACATACATGCTAGAACAGCCCTCAAGTCCGGCCTTTGTCACGCCCAATTCTCTGCCTTGGCTCTGTCATCGAGCACACATGTCGCCCGCTCGACCCCAAAAACCATAACGCCAACTGACCATGAAATGGAAGTGCATAAAATACATCAATGGGGCTGTTGCTGCTGCCAATTGCACGTTGTGTGGTCAAATAGAAGAATGTTGTTATAAGTGCCATTGGCACTGCTGGCGACGGACATCTAGATGTGGCTATTCGGCTGACCCAACCTCACGGTTGGCCAAACAACGCGCCGTTTGTCGGTGGCCAGGGCAACGCGCTAAAACTCTGTCGCACAGGGTTGAAGTGCCACATCTCTTCGGCTGGACGACTGTCCATTTAACTTGCGCTGCCGCCTCACCTTTAGTACAGCATCCCCTGTTGGCTGGCTGGTTGGCTGGCTATATTCTGCTGTTGGCCAGTATGTGTGTCGTCATGCTCAAGGTCTCCAATTCCTTTAAAATAGCGCCCCATGGTATTCCAGCTTTTGAACATTTTTTCACTGGCGGTCCCCGATACCAGCTTTGACATTCTGTACATAAGCTCCGGCAATTTAAGCTTATAACAACTGTTCCGAGGCATTTTTCTTTTTCATTTTTTTTCGGTTCTCTTGCGCAACAGCTGTTGCCGTGCAGGGCTCGATGCAAACATATTGAAGGGACCCATCCACAGATCCGGCCAATGCCTGGGGGATATCGGCAGCACCCCGCTGTATTGTAACGAGCATTGCTGCTTAGTTCTTTTTTTCCTTCAGTTTTCAATTGTTTGTAACATTGGGTGAGAGTTTTCCACTCGATGAATTCCACTCGCTATATGTTCAATGGATATCTGTAAAATAAGTTTCGGCTAAAAATAAATATACTTATTAGTAACCAAAAGTTGATTTGATCAAAAATAGTTGAAGCCGTGAATAGAATACAATCGGTACCTACTCATTCCAAATATCTTAAGAACGCACCCAAAAAGACTTAACACAATAATCCTATGCTTAAATGATATGGGGAGGTGTTATAAGTAACACACACAAAAATCAAGATTTACAACTGGACCGCAAATCTATAAAAGAGTATTAGAGATTAGATGCGAATTACGTGCAGAATCCAATCGTAACGAATTGTTAAAGCCTTGCCTGCTTAAATGGCATCCTGTATAGCGTCAAGTGCGACCAGCCTGGATGTGAGTGTGGCCAAAAATGTAGTCGCTGCAAATCCGTTTACAGGCACAATCTAGGTAAATGCTACTAGCTTACACACTGACACTTTGACTGGCGCCACTGGCGGCCATTTGCTCCATTTCCATTTCCATCTGCATCGCCATTTCTATTTTCTACGTGCCCGGCCAACTGCTGGGTTGCCAGCAGGTGCAGGTGCTCTGGCTTGCTTAGTTGTGTTCGTGCGTCCGCTTTTGCGCTACTTTTGGCCAGTCCAAGACCAAACATAAAGACTGTTTGTGCTCCTTAGTTGAGATTGGACCTGGACCTGGCTGGCATTGGGCGTTGGGTGGCGATATCAGAGTCGGAGTCATGGTCCTGGCGTCACGTGGTCACAACATAAAAACGTGATGAAATTTCACAAAAATAAAAGTGAACTCACCCCAGGCTCCGGATCCGAACCCTCGACCCTCCACCTTCGAGCTGGGGCCAGTGACAACGACAGCGGCCGGCATTTGGTGTCGATGTTGAATTGTGGGTGAATGCTTTGGCTGTGGCGCGGGGCGTTGGGGTGCGGTGCGGTGCTCTGCTTTTACGAGCACGGCCATGCGATTGCTTGACATGGCTAAATGTGCCTTAGCAGCGTAAATAAGTAGTAAAAAATTTATAGGATTTGCGCTTTTCGGGGCACAACAGTTGCAAAGGTTTTTGGTGTGAAACAAAAACGCGCACAATTAATAAAAATTCTTTTGGGGTTCATGTCCAACTGGCACGACCTCTGTTTAAAGCATGCACAACCAGACCGCGGCATAATAAACAATTACAAATGTCACATCTTTACCCAAGCCCGGCCATGCCGCGCGCTGCCCCTGGCTATCATCTGGGCTTAACTGCAATAAAGTCGCGCCCAAGTCGCATTTGCCCATAAGCGTGCAGCTCATAAAAGCCAAAGGCAACAAACAGCAATGGCCAATGGAGCAAACTGAAGCTGCGTGCATCGGGCAGCGGGCAGCTGCGGGCAAAAAGAGTTCACCAACGCGATCTCCAAGCAGCTATGCCTGTGCCTCGACGCCTCGTCCATTTTTATAATCGCATTTTTATGATTAAGACGCATTTTATGGGATTTTAACTGCTATTATTTTCGCTTTTAACTGTCACAATAAAGGCAAAGTTAAAGACAGCAAAAGCTCCACACAGCACTCTTCTTTGTTTATGCGGTCCAGAACGTTTTGTTTCCTAAATGGTCTTCCGCGTGGTGGCAGAGCAAGGGAAACGCTGGGGGGCAGGCACTGCTAAAGGCAGACCATTCACTCTGGCTTGCGAAAAGTTTACTATGCAGATTTCAAGCAAGAGATTTGTGCCCGGAAATCACATTGCATCACACAAGCCAAGCAATTTATGCGCTGCAGAAAGGGTTCCCAACTGGGCTCTACCCACAAGTATCTTAGAAGTCGGTCTATTAATAACTCTTAAAATAATAATATCATTAGTATTTCTCAAATTGTTCGATAGCTTACGATATATTTTCCGATAAAAGTAATCGATCATTTGTATTCTGTTTGTTAGGTATCGATAACTATAAGAAACACTATTATTAAAATATCTAACAATACATTTTGGCAGCACGGTTGGCTATTGAAGAAGAGTAGATTTGGAAGAGAAAGGGTTTTAATCGCTTCGACATATATCACGATAAGAAGGATCGACTATCGAATCGGACTAATTATCGATAACTTATCAAATTCTATCTAAATCGGTATAAACTATCGATTAAGGACGCCATCGAAGCGGGCCAGTATGGATAATTATCTGCAAATATCGACAGATTTTCGCATCACTTACAGCTACAACCCAAAAGATATATCTTACGACGAAATGTCCAATCTCTAGTCTGGCTATAAGCAGGAGTTTATGGCTTAGCCATAAATCGATTACGTTCGACCACATTTTACGGCTAAAGTCAATGCTTGTCATTACTGGGTTAAATTTAATGCTAACATTTCTGAAATGGCTCAACTCAAATATACAAATAAATATTGTTGTAAAAATTGATAAGCCCATCAAACGGCAATCGTTGCAGGGAACAAAGGACATTAGCAGCGACGCGGCGCGACGTTTACGGCTGAACGTCAGCTTTTATGGGGCCCTGGGAGAGACAGGCAGGCAGGCAGCGGAAAAACAGTCAAACAGCAACTCAGTCAAAATGCTCGGATATGAACTCTTTTTTAATGAGGTGCTAAAAATGCCGTTATTGTTATGACAGTCGGGCGGGCGGGCATTAACGGATGCTGGCAACGTCTCGTCCTGGCCCCAAATGCCGACACGCGGAGCTTTGTTGGCTTTTCGGCAGGACATTAACGTTAAAGCCAAAGTTTTAATGCAGATTCGGTAACTTGGCTCGACGAACCGCTCCGAAGCGCCGTTTAAACATCGATTTGTAAATTGTTAAATGATTGCCGGGCTAAATGCGCGTGGCTAATGCCCCGTTCCGCACCGCTGGCAAGGGTTGTTCGCTTGGGCTGGGAATACCCGGCGGGGTGCGGTAGTGGGAAATGCGAATGATACCAAGGGTATATGTGCGTCTGGCCTGGCGGGACTCTCATCTATGCAGCATCATCGAATTCCTCGCATACCCGAGCAATGCGCGTACATTTTTTCCTTACGTGCGTTGGCTTAGCAGCCGACGAGTCACAGCCTGCAGCCCTCACATGTTCTCCCTTTTTTTTCGATTCGAATACCCTTTTATCCAAGTGCAGGGTACATTTTGTAAGTTGTGGCTGTTATTTGTGCTTAATAGCTTAAGCTTCCTAACTGTTTATATGTAAATAAAGAATTCAATTCAACAGAAGTTTAGCTGGAAACTCGATAAAAGAAAGGGTAAGAGTTAAGGCCTCCGTTAATTCGAATTCAATTCTTATTCGTATGAAAAGTTTAAGGCATGTTTTACTAAGCAGGTACAAACATAATCAAAAGTTGACTAAATCACTGGTATTTTGCGTATAGGGTATTTCCAAATTAAACATATCTATATACGCTCGCAATGGCATATTTATACATTTTCTCCACAGAGCTCCTGAGATGACTGAAATTCCTATGTCTGTCTTTTAATAGTCCACACAGTTAACCCTTACACTAGAGAATTTCTTACAGGGTATTCGAAAATACCCTGCTTAAGCAGCTTTATATGCAGTCGAATTTATGAATGGTATATTTATGCATCTGTTACTTATTGTGTATGTATATAGATAAGCGGATATAGATATTGAATATAGATAATCGTAGCAGTCCTTTAATAGTTCATATTTGAATTTCCTACAGGGTATTCCAAAATGTTTCTGTCCAATTTAGGCGTTTACTTACAATCGAATTAAGAAATAGTATATTTACGATTCTTTTTCTTATACATATTGAAATATTTGGAAAACATTTGTTGCCCAGGCCTTCTGAGATTACTGAAATTCCACAGGCTGGCCTTCATTTGCAGCATCTTGAGTCTCCCACCGCTCGCGCTTATTAAAGCACTTCACTTGCCTTCTCAAGCGTTTTGGCGGCCCAAAGTGGGGCTTCAGTCCAAGTACGGAAGTAGCCATTGAATATTCAAGCAGCTAAGCACTTGTGTGTCCAGTGGGATGGGGCAGCGTTGTAGTTGTCGCATTTTTCTTTTTGAAGGGGGGGCTGAATGTTTCATTGGCGATTTTTATGAGAACTTTGGCAGCCATTTAGAAAAATGTTGCTGTAGATTTTTGGCCTTTCTGACAAACATAACACTTTGGCAGCCCGAGACGGCAGCAGTTGGCAAACAAATTTGAATTTATATTAATTTATTAGCATAGCAAAAGCGCAGCAGTCAACGGCGAGTGGACCTGTCCACTGTCCTAGCCGTAAGCCCAAATCCGGCTAAATACGGCTCGTATTTTGGGCCGCAGTTGACACCAAGTGGCAGCCGCAAAACTTTTCGAGAGCAGGCCTTATAATGAAAATGAAAAGTAATTCCACAATTTCTAGCAATGAAGTCGCTAATTTGAAATGTAAATTGCCGTGCTAAGCAGTCGGAAATAAAAAAGTGAGAAATAAGGGAAAAAGTGCGAGTGCTTCCATCCAAATGACTGCCTGAGTGGGGCGGGCGTGGCTCATCTACACACATTTATTAATACGCGCATTTTTCACACCGGATTTGCATGTGGCCAGGGACTTGTCCGGAAACCGGAGCGACTTCATTTTGAGTTTTAAGTGTCGCCCGCCCAAAAATATGCAGCACTTGCGTGAAATATGCGCCCGAGATCCAAAGTAGCTGGCTCTATGCAAAATTATGCTAATGCCGCGCCCACAGCCCAGGTGGGCGTGGCAGCAGTTGCAGGCTGCCACCTGCGCTTTATGCAACGAAATTTGCCAAATGTCAAGCGACCCAAGCGGCAACTGGAAGGGGAATGGCTGCTGTTGACTTTGGTTCGCATGCAGCTGACAGGTCGACAGTTGGCAGTGCCAAAAGTCAAAAAGGAGAGCAGCACACAGCTCGTTGCTGGTGGGGCACACATGAACAAAACAAACAAGTGCCAAAGAACTTTAACCAAACGATTTTGCACTTTAAAGGTGCCCCCCTCCCTTAAGCTTCTGCGTCCTGGCAAGCGATCCAGCGCCAGCTTAGCGTTTACCTACACACTCATAAAATGCGCATTAAAACATACTGCGCTGGCCGGGTAAAATCCGAAAGGATTTAGTTGCGCCACAGGAGGTGGTTACTTCACGTCTATTGCGCCATCTTTGCATACACACACACACACACACACAGGCACACACACACATTGAGCGACAGCCAACCGAGCAACCTCTGTGCCCCAGCTGGTAACATGAATGGCTTTTTCATCCATCAAACATGGCGTCAAACGTCACAAGGCTTGGCGCACAAAAAGGCAAGCCAGAATGCCCAACCCCAAAGCTCTATTGTCGTCTAATACCACAGCGCCCCGGCCCCGATCCCGGCCCCACCCACTCTTCCCGTTGTGCCCCATCTATAGCCATGCATCACTTCCGCAGCCGCTGTCGGTGGGTGCGGCTGCCACCGCCGTGGGCTACATAATCTTTCGAGCTTTATGTGCTGATGACTTGCTGAGCCTGAGCTGGCGATGCCATTGCTGTTGCTTTTGTTATTGTTGTTGTTGCTGTTGCTGTTGTTGTTGCTGTTACTGCTGCTGCTGTTGAGGTCGAAGCTGTGTGGGCTGTTGGGGTTTACTGCGTGTTTGGTTGTTCCGAAATGTGCTGAGTCGGTTTTTGTGCTTGGTCGGATTTTCTACACTTTTGTTGGCATCACCCAGAGTGCTTGTTGTTGTTGTTGTTGTTGGCTCAGCATGTTGCTGGCTTCTAAATACATGGACAGACACATACACCAACATAAGCATAGACATTCATATAATGCTTGTAATATTTGCGCTTAGCCTTTACAAGGGAAGCGGCCCTCTGGCCCGGCAAAAGGCGGCAGGCTGAAGGCGGACGACAGGCGGCGCGAACGCCCCAAGTG